AAATAAGACACTCAGACTAGATTTTGTGTGAGGATGTGTCAGATAGTGGAAAAATATTTTCCTACTTGCTGCTGACAGAAATACCACACTTGGATAAGAGTTTTGTGTGCCTCAGCTTTTGGGACTGAATTTTCCTAAATTTTCCCCCAAGAAAGGATTTAAACTTGATGTGCACTGAGGAACAAGTAGATACTGGTATATTGATGTGTTTTGGGAACCTTTGCTCCTGTTCCTGAGGCACACTATGTAAGAGTGTGCACAGGCTCCTGAAGCAAATGGTTGGATGTGCAGCCCTGTGCAAGCTTTAGCTCCTTAAGCTTCACTACTCAGTTTGTTGCTTGGTGTGGAACTGGTGAGGCTGTAGTAGCTGACTGCTTAATTTCAGGCAAATTTGACAGAGAGGTTATGGTCCAAAACATGGTATTTTGGGGAAAATTTCTCAAGAATAGGTGACTGGAGAGCAGAGAAAAAGACTTTCACCAGGACCTCCATTGCGGAATAAGTTTGTAGGGGGAGATTTTGCACTGGTAAAGCTAAGAATCCACAGGTGAATTCATCCATGAGCTAAAAGTGCAAGCTTTATTGGTTTTGCTGCTCTCAAGACTATCTTTATGATGACCATTTTCTTATGCTCTTTTCCTTCCCTTGAATCCAAGTGTCATAACAATCTGTACTGATCTCATTTCTTTACAGCATGGCACACGTCACAGCAAAGAAGAGTATATAGAACTTATGTAACTTGTGTACTAGTTGTTTACCAGGTTGAGCAAATGATTGCTTATACTTAACTCCCTTCACTGAATTACTTATCCTCTGTCTTCTGGAAATGTGTTAGGATGATCATCGCCATCTCAACCAGTTCATTGCCCATGCTGCTCTTGACCTAGTAGATGAGAACATGTGGCTTTCTAACAACATGTATCTGAAGACTGTGGACAAGTTTAATGAATGGTTTGTTTCTGCTTTTGTCACGGCTGGACATATCCTTTCCTCTTCTCTTTCTGGGTATTTACTGAGCCTTTTGTCAGAAAGTGATAAACCAGTTGGAATGACTTTGGAATGGATTTCTCTGGCCGTTCACCATTATTATTGTCAGAATTCCCAGCCTGAAGTGGAGATGAAGGATGAAGTGAGTTAGGGGGCACAGCAGTTATTTAAAATTGGAAATAGCTGGAGATGGATTTTTCTTCTTGGAGGACCTGAATGAAATGTGAAGTTCATGAGGAGTAGAGGAAAAAGGAATGAAAGCACATTTATTTGAAGGGCTCTGAGCAGGCCTGTATGATTGTCTGCTTACATTCCTTTGGTAATGTTAGAAGAAGAGAAGAGATAAAAGTACTTGATGTTAGTTGTGCACATACGGAAAATGCAGTGTCATGGCTTGATGGTCTGTGCAGATGGTCGCAAAGAGAACGCATTGTGAAACGTTTGTTATGCATAGCAAGTAACATTTTAATTTCAGGGATGTATGGAAAAGATTCTGAGAATATCCCTGATGTTACACATTTTCTAGCTTTAAAAATAATGATCTTCCAAAGAAAGGTGATTCTGCTTTCACATATGGGAATTTCAAATAATGCTTTCTAAATATCATTGCTTCAGTTAATTCCTTAAACATGCTTGTTTATTTCTAGTGTACAGCTAAAAATTTTAGGTATATAGAGAATTAGGTGCAAGTGCTTATTTTGGGATATGCTTTCATTGGGAAAGTTAAATTTTCCTTAATTGTTTTACATATGAGATTTATAATGCTTCATGACATAAGGCAAGAAGATGGAATAAAGAACTTCTTTAATGATGTATATGACTTGTATATAAAGGTAAGCTCCCATTTTTAAGTTTCACAGCAGTACCTCTCAATGTGCTATATTAATATATGTTTTGTTGGTGGTACCTTTGTGAGGGGAAGAGTTTCCCTACTGTCCACGTGTGTGGGAACTGTGGAATGATGGCCTGAACCACTGATGGATCACCGGAGGCAAGGACTGGGTCAGCTGTGGTGAAAGCAATTCACTTGTGTGACTGGAACCAGACTGGAGCCAGGCTCCACCCCTCCTAGACCCCATTTAAGGGCTGACTGCCACTGGGGAAGGATCTCTTTCTGGAGATCCCTCGTTTTTGGAGTTTCCACTGTGAGCCTAGATCCTTTGATATGAGTGAGCATTTCTTCTTTGATTGCCTCTTTTCCACCACGATCGTCTTTCCAACTATAACACCTGTAAAGTACCATCCTAGCCATGTTACTCTTCCAGCTGTGTATTTTTTGACTGCACACCACATCAGCCAGAGTTGGTAACATGTGACAAGGAGGCTGCATTTTCTCTACAATGTAATAGATTTTTCTAGTTCACTATAGATTGTGCTCCTTCAGGATTTCGTTTTCATTTCAGTCCAGTCATTTTGGGCAGTGTTATTAATGGTGATAATGAAAGCAAAGGACTGTTACACAGCAGTCTGCTCAAAGCGCTTCTCTCTTCAGAACAAGCAGCAGTGTGTGTTGTCACAGCCCGGCTGGATCGCCACTAGATGGGGCAGTTGCAAGCGCTGACACCATCTGAGATTCCTACGGGGACTCAAAGGATGTTAATTTCTACAATAGGCTTCCATCAGTGTCACGATAGATTTGTTCTTAGCTCTTACTAAGAGATGGCTGTGCACCCGTGTGTGGGAGAATGCAACAGCCTTCAAAGTCAGTGACTTCCTAGGAAGACTTCCCATGCTTTTCAATGGCACTAAATAGGCTGAAAGCTAATAGTTGTCACTTAAAATAACATTTCGTATTTCTGGGCATTGTGCTTATTGATGAGATTTTTTTTCTTTCCACAGTTTGCAATGAACCCGTTTTATGAACTCAATTCACCAATTCGATCCAGTGCCTTCGAAAGGAAAGTGCAGTTTCTTGGGAAGAAGCACCTTTTGAGCTGAATAAATAACTTTCCTGAGTGAGTCCTTTTCCATGCTTCCCTGATTTGAACTGTAGTTCTGGGTAGTTCTCAGCATGCTGGATATCCATCTTCCTGAAGATTGACAAATTGGATGCTGAAGTAGCTTTTCTTGTTGATACAGATAAAACAGCCAAGTTCTCTGGTTAAAAAATGTACCTTAAGGAATTTGTCTTACAAAAACTAAGTGTAACAGTGTCTGGGCTGAATAGGTACAAAGTGAGGTATGTCAGCGCATGTGCGAAATGTAACTCTCTTACAGAGGGTGGGAGGACATCTGATCTAAACACTGAAGGCTTCTGAATCTCTTGTGAGTTGATTTAATATGAGCAAAAGGGTATTTTTTATTTTATTGGCCTAGGTGGATAAATCTGTTGTGAACTCTTCTAACTTAGTCTTTTCCTAGAGAATGTACTCTGCAGGCTAACTGGACTCTTCATAGTATTAAATAAGGCATATATTAAACTTCAACATAATAGATGTATTATGAAGCCCTAAATTAAAAAAAAAAAAAAAAAAAAAAAAAACTGCAAGGCTTTGTCTTCAGCACTTTTTGGCAAGTTTTTGGCAAGTTTTACTTTAAAAAAAAAACTTCCAAGGTTTGTTTTTTAAGCTTAAGGTTGTAAATGTCTCATGTTTAGCACAACAGGTGCTTAGAGCTGCAGTGTTGCATGAATGAAATGCACAGAGCAGATCACAACAGCTGTCTGCACTGACTTCAAATCTAATTCACACATGGAAAAAAAAAAAAAACAAAAAAACCCAACAACTAAACTTAGGTGTTTAAATCCCCATCTTTCTATTATCTCTGCAAGTGCTGAAATACTCCTTTTGAAAGGGTATTTATTTCTACTGGGATCTTTGAACCTCCAGTAAGATTTCAGAAAGACTTTGCTGGGCCTCTTTGGCTACTGTCTCATTCTAAAATGTGGTTATGTACTTTTTTTTCCTTTTTTTTTTTTTTTTGCAAAACTTCATTTTTAACTACTGATTTTTAAAGGGGTCATTCAGCATATATATACCTACTATTTTGGCTGGTTTCACAATCTTTCGTGGTTTCACAATTAGTTAGTCACAATCTTTTGTGAAATGTTTCATTTCTGCAGAACGTGTCTGATAAGCAATTTCCAAAGGAAGAGGCACACTATTCTAAATAAATAAATACATCTTGTGTAGTTTGTATACTAAAGGGACCACAGATGTAGGCACTTTATGTACAACCAGTTATTATTTCTTTGTAACTTATACGTAACGCTGAAGCATCACTGTAAAATATTCCCTGTGAGAAGCAACACTGTGCAATATAGAATGTGATATTTACCTTAAATAAAAGGAGGACTGATGCAGCATGGATGTGTGTTGACTGTACTTTAAATGACTTTAAGAGAAGAGCAGATAAGTGGGGCAAGGCTACTGGCAGGACATTAAGTGAAGGTGGGAATACTTGTCTTGGCAGTACTGTTTAATAACACCTGCATCATACAACATTTTGACAGTGTCATGTAATCTCACATAAATTTTTTTAGACACATACATGAAATGAACAAACACCCTTGAAGCAAAGCATTCTTTCTTATACAGTGGCCAAAACGTTACTAACAGGATCCCCTAATACTTAATCTGAAATGAGTCAGTGAATTGAAACATGTACCACAACTGCCCACCTTCATAATGAAAGGGAAATGTTAAGCCTTCACAAAAACGTGTATGTGTTGCTGAGTATGATGAAGATGTTTATTTTGGTACAATCCATATCTGCTTGTCCTACAGCTGCCACTTCTTCCAAGTACTTGGCAGTCTCCCTTGCACCAAAGCCAACTTCTACATAGGCTGCAGTCTTATTCACTACAGCAAGTAAACTTCTTTTACCACTTTTGTAATTAGTGCACAGTTGTGGTAGAGCAGTTCTCACAGCACACTACACTTGCTGTATTAAATGGTGTTTAAACCTGCTTCTCATAAGGAGGCTGGGTAATCATGGCATTACATAGAAATGGTAGGAGAAACAAGAGAAAATAGAAATTGGCTATTAAGCACAAGAAAAACTACTACACCTGGTTTTCATCCTTATGTCCTTTTATAGATTTTATTATTAAAGTTTTAATTATAATACTCAAGAGGTAATTTCATCTATTTTATTTTAGTCTCACTTCTGCAAAAGTTAAGGTTCAAGGAAATTAAGGTTCAATCTAGCTTACCTTCTTTCTTTCCTCACATCTTTCCTTCACTCACTATAAATCTGAATATCACACAAGCAGCAGGTCAGCCTGTATTTAGCAGTTCAGTGACTGAAACTTAAAACACAACTCTGTCACTGTATGTACAGGACTTTGAATGCAAAATTTGTCAAAATATCACCTTGCAGCAGGAGCAGCAGATCTGTGGAGTAAACATGGTTATGAACAGGTTCAAATGAGCATAGAAAACGTTGAGGAAAGCATATAAGAGCAACAAGAAGTTTGTTTTGCAAGCTTTACTTCTAAATAACATCTGGTACAAAGCAAACACGTTAAGACTCCTGCTGTTACTGTACTATCTAGAAAAGCTTCTCTATTACAACAAAAAGGTTGCAGTACAGAAAGCAGAGTCTGCATAATTTAGTGAGAAACACGGCCTGTCCTATAGGCCTCTGATTTCCTTCTGAGCTCTACAATGTGTACGCTAACAGGCATGCTTGTAGTCAGGTTACACATTGAAGCAATAGTGCATTATCAGGTTTGTTATTAAAAGGATATTGAGCACTCTTGAGAGACAGCTTTCAAGAACTTCTCATACAAGTATTCTACCATGGGACAGCAGTGGAGAGCTTCAAATGCACATCCTGTGGCTTCATCTGCAACACTGTAGAAAGATGATCAATTGAACATGGAACTTGTTTCTGCTCACTGTCAGTTAATGAGTTCAGTAATCCCAAAGTTTAAGTCTCTACCCTACGATGGCATATTAAATAAGCATCAAATTTGGCTCAAACATTAGTTATAGGTACCTACTTGTACTAGACTGGAAAGCTGTCACTACCTGCTAAGTCAAGAGCTTCCTGAGTTCCCTATGTATTGCAAATCCTTAGTTTCACAGTACAGAGATCACAAACACATTCATAGCTCAGGTGAACAAGAACAATAAGGTCAGAACTTTAAGGCTGTATACTAAAAGCTTTCTTGAGGAGATCCACATAATGGTAAATTACCAAGAGTTACTAAAGCTGACCAAATAAAGTACATGTATCCATTTTCAGTTATGAAAAATACTTTGTTTATCCAGATTTTTTTTTTTTTACCCTATTGATCAGAAACATGCCAGAATGGGACATAAGGGGAAGACATTAAAAAAATAAATCACATTTTGCATTGAACTGCTGGAAAAATTCATATGGCATTAGAATAGTAAACAAAAGGAAGATGAACATTAAATAGGTAGGAAATTTATTTCCTACTTAAAAACCTACACAAATTATAGCAATTACAGAAAACTTGAAGGTAATTTATGTTAACTTGTAGTAAATGCATTAGAGATGAAGTTCCACACACATCCAAAGGAATGCAGCGAGACTAAAGTTTAATATCTAGCATTGTTAAGAAACTGAGTTCTAGTGAAACAAAATGGAATGCTAATTTCATAAAAATATATATATACATATAAAAGTTTCTTTGTATCTGAATTCCAGAACAGTTTCCACATAGTAGTGCTTCCAGAACTTCAAGTTTTAATTATATTCAAAGTATTTCTCATTTAGAGTTGGCAAATTACATTCTTATATTAAGATTTTTACTTGACACCTTCCTGATAGGAAGTGTCACTAATTCAATAATGGGTCACTCGTGAATGGAAATCTGTTTTGCTCCTCCAGGAAAGCAGCAGAGTATCACAACTTCAGTATTAGAGCAGAACCCATTTGTTATTTTATCTACATCTTTCCCATCCTCTTACAGAGTAAGCTAGTTGAAAGTAGTTTGGCAAAAAAGAAAAAGGTTAAGTCAACAACAAGATGAACTAGGTTTCGGTTTCCGATGGAGGTTTACTGTATCCGTTTGAATAAAATGATCCGATCTATCTTCAGAGGCTAGAACTCTTCTAACAGCTTCTTCAAAGGCTGCTGCAACATTAGTGGCATCTTTTGCACTGGTTTCAAAATAGGGATGATTGCCGTTATTCCTGCACCAGTCTTGGGCTTCTTCCGTAGACACCTGCCTCTCACTTATATCAACTTTGTTACCCAATATCACAAATGGAAAGCTTTCGGGCTCCTTGACATCTGCGTAATAAATGAACTCTTTCTTCCAGTTGCTTAAGTTTTGGAAGCTTTGAGAGTCATCCACGCTGAAGGTAAGCAAGCAACAGTCAGAACCTCTGTAGAAAGGAGTCCGCAGGCTCCTAAAACGTTCCTGACCTGCTGTGTCCCAGATCTGCAGAGTGACAAAGTGTCCATCCACTTCCAAATCTTTGTTTAAGAATTCCACACCAATCGTATGAAAAAGCTGTGCATCAAACTTGTTGGTGACATATCTGTTCATAAGGGAACTCTTCCCAACTCCACCATCTCCTAGTAGTATTACTTTGAGGAGTGATGATTTTGCTGCCATTGTTAAGAGAATAGATCTTCCTTGTTTCCCACACCTGTAAAAGGTTAAGAAAACTGTTAAGAAGGGAAGGTAGTGAGCAGAAAGTTTTGTATGTATCTAGAAAGTGTTAAAAGTTCACCAACATCAAGCTTCATGCAAAGACAGGATGGCTATGCAATATAGACAAAGTGTAGGTACTCATAACAACAACATCCACTTAAGAATACAACTGTCATCTATTCCACAGACTGCAGCATGACTTTTGCAATCAGTAATAAATTTGCAACTGATTCACAGTGAATGCTGTGGTCTACAGAATGAATTAAGGCCAAATTACAGCACTTGTGAAGTCCCATGACTAGCGTTCATCACAGCATTCATACACTAACATTCATTATTTCCCTCCTTATAAAGCAGCTGCAGCAAATGGAATACTTCTATTACAACTGTCTACAAAAGCAAACTCATTGCTACTAATCCAAATGGTACTCCAGATGCCAGCTACTCAGGACAAGTCTACAATGCCAACTTTCCATGATAAAACTGTCAGACACCTTGGCAGTGCTAGTGAAAAGTGGCTGCCCAGCATAGAGATCATGAATTAGTGACACCAATTAAGCTTTTATCTTTTACTGTGATATTTTAGTGTTCAAGGGCTTTATTCATTTATTTGAGGCACTTACATCACCTGTATTTTGTGCCAGCCCATGGTTCACCCTCCATTACATTAATGTCACCTAATGCTATTAAAAATTATTTTAATTGCTTGCAGATAAAGTTTCAGTTCAAGGAACCCAAACGTAGGTTTTGGTATGAAGAGAACTGCCATTTCTCTACCAACCTGATACTCTTAGGAACTTAAAGAAACTCAGCCAAAACAGGCTTTTGTGAAAATAGCATCTATTTAAAATGCAAGGAGGTCACAAGTAGCCTGGTCTGCCTCCTCCTCTGAAGGAAGGAATGTGGTCTTGCTAGTTGTAATTAGCATTGCTGGCATATACATCACCCACAAAACACAATTATGGAATTAATACCTGATACAAGCTGGTATAAAGTCATATGACTGTGTGCTGCCTTAGAATCAAGGCCTGCATTAGAAACAAGAAATGCCAGGAATTTTTTCATCTTCAGCTCTCCATCTCTGAATGTATAACAATCTACAGTGGAGCATAAGAAATACTTCAGAGTTTTGAGAGCAGCTGAAGCCTCAATGCAAGTTACTCCTCCTCATATTTGGAAGTTCTTGCTTCTATTAAAAATCTGTTCAGAGGAAGTGAATTTATTCTTACACTGCACAGTGAAAAACAATATTTAAGAATCCTCTGCATTTTACAGGTTTGTATCACAGCAATATTAAAACTGCTTAACAATTACAAAAGAATGGTTCAGTTATCTTTCACAGAGCTCGAGGTACGAACATACACCATGTTACAAACAAGCCTTCTTGGAATCACACAACCACCAGCAGGTAAGTTCCAGGCTCACACTGAAAGCTTTAAAATGCCACAGGCGTTCCCTAATCTCCCCGGTTCCTACTATTACCTAACAAATAAGTTATTTGAACTACTCTATTATACAGTAACAAGTTCTTAATAAATAATGCATTCATGAGAACAGAGGGTACTGAATGTTTCCCCATTTTTCCACTTCACTGAAGGGGACACTTCACAATTAATATACGGCTAATTCTACACCGAGGCTGCAGAAATAGCTTCCCCAGAACCAACAGGCAAGCACCTCCACATGATGTTGCCTTCAATTTATTTTCCAGAAACAACACACTAACAGTTTATGTTTCTGAAAACTTTCCAGTCTGAACAACAGCAACAAAAAGATACCTTCACAGTTATTTGGGATTACAAGAGAGCTTGAACCTCCAAAGAAACATAGTTAAAGACATTAAAAAGCAATTTTGTTTCCAAGACTTTACTGGCTGTAAGGGACTACTATGTAACCCTACTGACCGACTACACAATTTACAGCATCTGCAGAAGCTGGATGGCAGTTTTCAGTACAGCACGCTGCTGCATTTCTTTCACTTGAACACCTTAAATGAAGTAAGATTTTTTAAATAGCTTTAAATTGTCCTGTTGTTTTGTTGTTACTTGGAAAGAAAAAAAAACAAGCCCCTAACACTCCAACAAAAAAAACCCACAATCCTCCAGAGGTGTGGAGAATTAATGTTATTTCTCCTATTAATGTACTTTGAACTTACACATCTTTGGCAATGCTTTTGGAAGAGTCAGTATCTGATATGATGTTCCCGAAGATTTCTTACCTTAGCCGTTCAGTTTAAATCATCGTTCAGCATCTGAAAACAAAACAAAAAACTTAAGTTTCCAATGTGCATCTGATTATTTTAACCAACGTCAGGAACTGCAAGACACCACAGAATTACAAATAGGTGTTTGTTCCAGTAACTTCAACTTACTGTGCTACACAATTATTGTAATGTACAAGCAGTCTCAGCCTGGTACACAGAGCAGTTTATGAGCAGATCTGCCCCCTATTTTTCCATGTTATTTCAGTACTTGGTGCCAAACAAGAAGTCCGAAACAAACAAATTAAAAGCAGCCCTACTGTAACACGTTCTGGTAACCATTTCTGAATTTCCTCCTCCAATTCATAAGGTCATAAGCTCTTAGACCACTGACTTCATTATTGTTAAAGCAGGGAACCATTTCTACTAAATGTCACTTCTTTTAGAAGTAATTTAGTCATTTCTACTAAATTGCACTTCTTTTAGAAGTAATTTAGTTATTCCCCTCCTAGAATCCCCCTGTTAAACTGAATTTGAAAGATTTTCACTGGCAGTCCAAACACTTGCTGGCAAGATAGAACATTACCAGCTATTTCATAAAACGAAAGCTGTTTGCATTACAGAAAGTCCTCAATTTCCAGCCCTTCAGAGCTTATGTGCATTAGAGAAAGCAATGGTGTTTTATCTTGATTTACTTAATTCCATGGTAACAACTTCTTCACTGCCTTTTATTTTTGAGTGTAATTACCTCTTTGAGCACTTTGTTGTGGAGGCTACACTCAAAGAAAAGTCATTGGTTTGGATCTAGAAAATCTTAACAGCAACACTGAAGCTTATTTTTATAATAAAAAGACTATACTAGGTTAACTGATTGAGAAGGATTTGTATATACCAAATAGTGTCAAAAACTGAAAGAATTTAAATGCTGAAGTAAAATTCTGGCCAACAGCACTCAAGTTTCTTCCACCTGATCATGCTTATTTAGAGCTTCATAGACTTTCAGCCAAGTCTTCCGAGAGAAGAAAAGTCATCTTTGATAAACATCTAAGGCAAAATGCTGTCTCAGTTACTGACAGGCAAAATTAGCGCCTTCCTAACTGATGTAACAGTCACACTGACAGTATTTCATAATCTCTTAACCTCAGCTTTACACATACACAACCATTTCAGCTCTGAAGACCATTCAGAATCACCTTTGCTAAGCCATCTTCTTTTATTTTAAACCAGTAATCCTTGCTGTTTTAAAAAGAGAACACTTCAATACTTTGTCAGACAAAAATACCTGCCTTGCAATAACAATAGGCACTTACTCCCCCATCCATCGTTTTTTTCTTAAAGTGTTTGGCAATATTTATCACACTAACATAGAAAGAAAACCCCTCTCCTGCTTTAGTTACAATGGCTCATTAAATACTGATAATTGTTTTTCTGCAAAACATCTGGAACATAAAAACAAATCAATCACAAAAACTTGCAAAGCTGCAATGTCAGGGGCAGGGTCAAGAATGAAGCGTTGAAAACTGGGTTAACACTTGCTCTTTGTCTTAACCCTCCAGCAGTTTTATCACCTAATGCAGATCTGAAAGTTTCCAGAAAGGTGAAAAGAAAGCAAGAAACAAATTTACTCCTTTTTCCCTCATTTAGGTAAAGAATCCTTGTCCAGGTACAAGCAGGACACTGCTTCATTCACACTCCAGGTCATAAAGCAGCGTAAGAACAGTTCTCCAGTGGGTAAAGGGCCACAAGACTGCCTCACCTTGAAATATTTTGCTTTCAAATTCAGAGAGGAACAGAGATTAAGTCAAGATCTTCCAAGCTGTGCACTTCTTAATGCACCGCAGTTTTGACCACAACAGTCTTCAAACTGACCTTCCCCTCCAAAAAACATCCATGTAAAAGCTGTGGCTCAGAAATACCCTTTACAGTGGGGCACTTGACAGCAGCCCAATTCTCTGCAAAGCAGGCAGCCCTCCAGTCACATGGCCTGACTTGCTGAGATCCCAATCACCCTTCCTTCATCTACGACTGCACTACTGCAATGTGATGGCAGCTAAGTTTTCTGTCAGATAGATAACTTGATGACAAGTTATCCGAAAACTGTCTTTAGTCATCAGCAGCGTGGACACAGTTTATCTAACATCAGAATAACACTGAAGATTATTCCTAATACTCAGTAACATAAACACAATGTAAAATGGATTGACATCAAGCTGTTGCTACTCATTTGCATGCCCCGAAAGTTGTCTTCCGTGTTTCTTTGGTTTCTTTGTAAGGTTACTTGTAACTCCTGTGCAGTTCAGCAGTTGCCTGGAATGACACAAGACAATGGAAGAGGCAGCAGCCGAGAACAGGAATCCTTCAGCATGCATAACCCTTGGATCATGCAAGCATCCCAGGCCTACTGCCAGAATTGCTTAAGTTACTATAACTTACATCTAACTGCAAAGTGGATCAGAAAAACTTGTCAGGAGAAATGCCCCATATAGATACAGCCTTCACCTTCCACCTCATTCCTCACTTCCAGGCAGAAGGACCAAACTCGACAACTCTAATTAAATTCAGAAAAAGGAAAAATATATATATATATATATATTCTCAGAAGCTCACAAGTAAGCATCTCCTAATTTAAGTACCATGTCATAATAGCATTACTGACTTCAAGCCAACTATAAAGCAACCTCAAGAATAAGTTGGTCCAGTATCTCCAGGAGTTCACAAGATCACATTGACTCTCCTTGCAACCCAATTCTGTTACTGCTCCCTCTCTGTAACTTACCAAGCAGCTAATTACTGCTGCTTATCCGTGCTACTCTCTCCAGCACATAAGTCTCCCTGTTCCTTCAGAGATCCTTAGCAATAGCTGCCCCTGTCAGCCCAGGCTACACTGTGAGTTCATGCTCTTCCAACGGGCGAGCAAAGCCCATCCGCAAGAAAGTAAGCAGGCTGCACCATACCAATCCAGACTGCTTGTGCTGGGGAGCACTAAGGAGAACAATAACTTAAAAGAAGTAAACTTTTAGTCCCATAGAACCAATAGAATGGCTCAGGCTGGAAGGGACCTTAAAGACCACTGAGCTTTAACACCCCTAGATGACCTTTAGGGTAGCTGTACTAGGTTTCTTTAGAGATAAAAAGTGACAGAAACGGATTTTGCATCCACGCTGAACAATTCCTCCCCCAGTCTGCCATTACAGCCAACTACTTCATAAGCTGCTACCAAAACAAAGCAGGCACACAAGAAAATCCCCCTAGAAGCCCATCACACGCAACCGCCCCACGCCGATAAACGGGAGACCAACGATAACAGCGGCCGCGTCGGTGCGGGACGCTCAGCCCCGCTGGGCCATTTCCCAGACGAGGCGCCCGCAGTCACGGGATCCCGCTCACGCCACCCGGCCCGCACCGAGCCGGGCCTTCACCCAGCGCCGCCGGGCACAACCCGCCGCCCCCTCCGCCCGGGGCTCACCAGCGCACGGCCGTAGGCGGACGGGTAGAAAGGTAACGGCGAGACCCCCTGCACCCCAAGACTGCCGTGGCAGGATCGCGGATCCCTCCGCACAGCGAGCCCCCGCACACGAACACCAGCCCCGTCGCGCCTCCCCCTCAGATACACGGAGTCCCTCCGCGCCCGCCAGACGGCCGCTAACCTGCCCGCGAATAGAAGCCGCCACCGGGCGCCGAGGGAAGGGAGAAACAACATGGCGGAGAGGCGGGGGGCGGGCAGGTCACGTGAGCCCCGCTTGGCTCTGCCCCCGGCAGGAGAGGGGAGGGGCGGGTGGGTGCGACACCGCCCTTGGGGGGGGGTCTCCGCTCACGTGGGCGGGGTGGTGGGGTGGTGGGGCCATTCGCCACTCTGAGCCCCGTTAGAGGGGGTGTGCAGGGAAGGTTCCTGCGGCCGCTCGGGATGAAGCCCGCGTGGCTGTTTGCGAACACGACTGCGGGAAAGAAATGTGAACAAAAGCGGTGACTGAGTATTTTTTACGCTCTTAAAGCGTGTTACAAGGATGGGGCAAATCGCGAAATGAGCAGAAATGTATTTAAGTGCATTTAAAGAGGTCCCCGCATCATCAAGAGGAATGGGTGATTATAGGCTTAAGGGATGAGCCTTTGAAACATCACTTTGCTCCGGCAGCCGTCACATGCTTTCGATCACAAGGATGAGGCAATCAGACTGGATCTGCAGCTTGCACAGTCATCCGGTGTTTGGATCAGATGTACAAAGGATTGGAAAACAAGATCTCCGTGTTATCGGAGGGAAATGCCTCCGACTGACAGCAGCACCCAGGCTTAAGGCAAATGTGATGACACTACAGGCATTCTTATGTAACAAAGCTGGACTTTGAAAATGTTTAAGGACCTGTTTCCTAGGATCTGCCTTCATCCGGGGCTGAAGTAAACCACGAGGAAGTGCTGGGTGGGCAGAAAACGGCATCTTTAAATGACTATTCTAAGATATAAGTTCTGATCATTATCTTGTGATGTTAAAAGGAAAAAAACAAAACAAAACAAAAAAAAACCCTCAGCTTTTGGAAGTGGAGGAAATAGTTTTTATATTCCAGGGATGCAGCAGCTACCACCTGTATTTTCTCTTGAGAGAATGCTGGCTCTCAGGCATTTGGATCTGTTTGAAGAAGTTTTAAAATTTGAGTTAGGAACAAAATTCTTATACTTTCGTGGTGAGGTGTACCTTTATTCTTTCTAGATAGGAACATGAAGGAATGTAGCAAATCTCAGGAACCCCAGGAGCACTGCTGGTGTGCAGGCCGTTCAAGGAAAATAGGCGTCACACCTCAGCAGCAGATTGAAGGAAATGACCATCTAAGATGTTGTGTGGTCAGATCTCACTGAAATCGCTCTGATTTCAGACCCGGATGGAAACATCACTCCATAATGGCACCACAGGCCTGGCCCCTACATCAGATCCATGGCCCTGGCTTGGCTTTGGCATGGCCCATCCCTGTGGGCTGACTGACACAACTGGCTGGGCCTGCCTTGGCAGGATGCTGTGGGTCTTCTTCCTGAGGTCTTTATCCATGCACCCTGCACTGCTGGCCGCATGAGCAGAATGAGGTTTGGTTTTATGCCGCATTCTTTCAGCAGCAGAATGGCAAGCAGAAGACAGTGGGGGTTTTCATTCAAGGGAGTGTTCTGCATCAGCAAAGGCCTCGTGCAGCACAGCACATGAATGATGCTTTTTACCATCCGTAACTGGCAAGGAGACTTTGTCCCATCCCAGCAAGTGATGACCTTGCCTCAATAAAACATGACTGTGTCACCTCCTGTCTGAATCACAGCAGCAAAAATAAGGGGATATGATGTCAGCTGCCTTTATTGTCTGCTAATACCACACTTTGGCAAGCCAGCTCCCCCAAGCAAGTATCAAAGCACTCCTTATCTCCCGGAAGGATCATAATTTAACATATTTGTTCCTTATCAACAGTTACCAATGAGTAGCTAACTTTTTTTTGCTAAAAGAAACAAACAAACAAAAAAAAAAAACCAACCCACCTTTTCTTTTGTATGTACCATAGCAGACTGAAATGAAATAAACAACAAAAGTGCACTGTTTCCTTTCTGTTTTGGAAAGGAAGAGTTCTAAGTAACAAATGGCAGTAGAGCAATGCGCTACAGGAAAACGGTTGAGGGAAAAACCAAAGGCCCTCAGCAGGACAGAGTTAACTGCAGGGGATGTCCAGGAATGAGGAGTGCTGTCATGGACTCAGCTATTAACTCCCATTCATCAACTCCAGTTAGGGGAATACCTCTGTATGAATTTCATTATTAATTTAACTCTAGACTTCTTGAGAGACAGAAATCTTCTAGGTACATGTTACTTAAACTTTGAGGGCAATCTGTATTTAATGCCTCATTGGTACTGCTCATAAGATAAAGGAAGTAGCTGTACTTAACAGTATTTCAGGGAAAACAAATAAAAAATAAAAAATAAAAAAGATTTTTTTTAAAAAAACAAAAAAACAATAACAAAAAAAAAAAAAAAAAAAGCACATGCTTCAGCCTTATTCTGCATATATTTGTCTGTTTGGTTTCCCCCTAATGCCATGCCCCTTTGTGGAGGAGCAGCATGGATATACCTAACAATTAGATGAAAAGCAATAGTCCCCAGTTCAAGAAGTTGAGAGATTTTTTTCCCATTGGGAACAAACCTAGAAAAAAAACAACATAAACAAATTTCACCTTTCAAAACTTCTTTTTTATTCTTGCTTTGGGGTTCTGACATTCCCTGTGTTCCAGTAATCTCTACTCTCATGCTGGTGCACACGATGTCTGGTTGCAGGTTGACTCTTCAGAGCCAATTTGAGCCAAAGCACATAATCTTATCCAGGCAAACATTTTAAGCTTGGGCACTTACACAGTCCAGGTAGAGACGACATAACCTATTGACAGACTGCAGCCTGGAACGGTACTTTGCATAGTGAAACTGAGACCGCACCTTTTCAAATAAGAGCAAAGTCTGCATGACTCGCCTGAGTGATTGTCTGCGTGATTGCCACTCACATTTGGCACCTGCACGTCTGCAGAGTACTGATATGTAGCAGCACATGACACCACAGGACACCTGTTTTATGCTAAATCTTTTCAGTCATGAGGAGTGGATACAATCACAGACGGAAAAAAAATGAAGTGGTAATGAACTGTGTTAGGTTAAAATAACTGATGGTGTGAGATGATCAAGAAAGTAATAAGAAGACTTGTGATTTTGTATTCAGTTTCTCCAATTGCTAAATGCTAGATTTTCACACATTTATCAAAATGAACTAGGTGTGAAACTGAAACTAGACAAGATTTTTCCACCAACGCTGGAATAAGCAAGGCCTTGTTTCCTATATATTTATATAACATAATTACAGCAGGCTCTCCTCATTTTCCCTGCCTCCCAATGTTTTTTTTTCTTTTCCACCAGTACTTCTAGGCCTCTGCCTTGATCCAGATTGCAGTCTAGTTCAGAAGCAGAATTATTTTGCGCCTGGCTTTAAGGTAGTATCAAGAACTTAGCAGCTATCTATGTTATAGCAGTTTAAACAGAACAAGTAACTCCTGGGTAAAGCAAAGGACTCCAGCTTTTCTAGCAGGAACAGAAATTCTATTAATGATTACTGAGTTTCACAAAATTTGCACACATATTTTAATCTTTTAATGTCTAGCTTTGTAACAAATACAGTTAAAAACTGTTATCGGGTTTGATTTTGATTGAGAAGGAAGGAAATGGAAGAATGCCTGCTTGCATTGGATTACCACAGAAAACTACTTAAAAATAGTCAGTTTGCAATCCTGAGGGTGCAAGTATTAATGAGTATTAACAGCCCTGTGCATCCCGTTCCCCGCCCACCGCGCTGTGGTGCAGCCCCTTTCCCTGACCCCCAGCCGCCCTCCCCTGACGCAGCTCCACGCCGTTCCCTCGGGCCCTGTCGCTGTCACACAGAGCAGAGCTCAGCGCTGCCCCTCCGCTCCGTGTGAGGAGCTGCAGCCGCAGTCAGGTCCCCCCTCAGCTCCTCTGCTCTGCACTGAGCCAACCAAGAGGCCTCAGTCGCTCCTCATACAACTTACCCTCCAGACTTTACACCAGGCTTCATTGCCTTCCTTTGGACGCTCTCTAATAGTTTCATGTCCTTCTTACATTGTAGCACCCAAACTTGCACCCAGCGCAGGGGAGGCTGCACAGCGCAGAGCAGAACAACCCCTGCCCTTGCCCAGCAGTACCAGGCCTGGTGCACCCCAGGGTAAGGTTGGCCCTTTAGGCTGCCAGGGCACACTGCTGGCTCATGTTCAACTTGCCATAAACCTGAGCCTTCCAGATCCCTTTCCATGGGGCTGCTTTCCAGCCTCTAGTTCAGCAGTCTGAACTTTCCCAGGTGCAGAAGCTTTCCCAGGTGCAGAATCCAGCACTTGCTCTTGTTGGTGATTGCCTAGTCCTCTAATTTGTCAAGATCTCTCTGCAAGGCCTCTTCACCCTCAACAGAGTCAGTAGAGCTCTTCCCAATTTAGTATCATCAGCAGACTTGCTCAAAACACCTCCTACATACAAGTAATTTGTGAGAACATTGAAGAGAACTGGATTTAAAATGGAGCTCTGGGGAACTGCACTAGTGAGCAGCTACCATCCTGATGTAACTCAATTTACTATAACCCTTTGGACTGATCCCATCAGCCAACTGCTCACACATCACTTTATGTTTTTTGGTTAACTGTAGGCTGGGCATTTTGTTCAGAAGCATTCTGTCAGAAACAGTATTGAAAGCTTCAATGAAAATGAAAAAGATGTCATCAGATGGCTTCCCTTCATCAATTAGATGGGTGTTCTTGTCATACAAGAAAATTAAGTTTGCTAAATAGGACCCTTTATTTATTTTTTTTTTTTAACACATAGCCATACCACTTTAAAAAAAAAAAAAAGCAAACAAAGAAACCTCAACCAAACAAATTTCAGTAGATCTTCAAAAATAACTTAGCAACTTTTAAAAGTGCTTTTGCAATTTTTGTGTCTACGTAGTGTCAATATCCGCTTTTACACTACACGGTTTCAAGAGACATCTTCTCTTATCTGTGCTTTTGAGTGACTTCTTAAAGTGAGTGAGCATTACAAACAAATCCATCTGCTGTGATACCATTGTTCTCCACATTCATTACAAATAACAAAGGTCAACATTTGTTCATCTGGATTTGTGTTTCGCACCCAGCCTGGAAGAAAGAGAGTTCCTCTGGCAATCATAGTGAC